CTAGAAACTAATAATATTCTAGGAACTAATTAATGACAGTTATACCTGAGTTTAACGAACATTTATACCTGAGTTTAATGACTAGGTCAACTAATTATCTCACAATAAAGTGTGAATGTGATGAAAATCTATGATAATGTATTTTGAAAAACAAGTATCGGCCAACTCTATCTTATATTTTAAAGTTAATAAATATAACAGTCTATTTAATGAATATAATAAAATATATTTAATAAATACAAAACAAAGTCACCTTCACAAGAAACAGAACACACTACGCCTATGCAGATAAGGACGCTTGATAATGAAGAAACCGAATGACTAGTTATGGCATTTTAAGGACGCAAATATAATAGACCTGCGAAGTGTTGATCAGTTTACCGATGTTTCAAAGTATTTAACGAACTAGTTCACCTATTCGCTCGTAAATCCTATCGATATGCAGAAGCTATCTTGTTACGAGGGGCAAATTTTATGGAATCATCTTACTTTCCAATTATTCACAATGGCGATTCATAGACAATAAAAATGATACCGGTAAGAATTTAGTTCTAACATTAAACATTGTTGCCGTTAGCTCTCAGTTCAATTTGTATTTGAGTTACTTTCAATTGAAAATTGTTATACTATAGTCAGTGGGCTATGCTTAAAGACTGGTACAAAACAAATCTAAAGAAATGAACCCGTGTGTGCCCGTTACAAAATTGAAGGTCGACTCTTTCAGTTGTATTACCAATTGCATATGCAGGCAATTTTCTGTGAAGATACCTGCACTGACGCCTGTCGCCACGCCCTTCGTGGTATTAGCCAGGGGAGTAGTTGTTTTCTGATAGGCGTCAGTCCATTCAACCTACTGTGTAGGTATATCGAGACTGGCTTGAACGTTCAAAGTTCATTTCTTTAGATTTCTTTTCAAAAACTTTCTCATTGTTCCTGAATCGACGATGAACCACAGCGACGGGAAACGAATTGCTGCAGTGCTGGAGTGTTCTTATGCTATTTTTCTGGATAACCAAGTAGGATTCTAACATATCACATTTTTCTTGATCTTGATCGGCATTTCGAACAGTAGTTGACAGTTACAATAACCTATAACATTAGCATGATGGATTTCAGAATATTTTACAAATAGTATTCCAAAAAAGTAAATATCATTTTATGAAATATTGTGAAAACCTGACTGTTAATTTTTTTCGTTTTTGTCATCGGGTAATCCATCAAAAATGGTACTAGTTCGCCCATGCAACCGAATTCGTAGCATCAATAATAACGGAGTTGGCAATGGGGCCGACTTAATTTGGAACACCCTGTATACTGAGATTCTGAATGACCAGAAAAATACTGTGTGTACTGGAATAGTGGATCTCGTATTGAAATAATCATATCATTCACCAAAGGGATCGGCACTGTCACCAGTCATGAAAAATTGAGAGTTTGTTTCTTTTCTCTACTGAAAATTATCATGTCGCTGAATCGTTCATTTTATGGTTTTTTCAATATTTCAAACTCATTTTGAATTCGAAAAAATATGATACCGCATGTTTAATTTATCAAAAGTGCTGTTTCAACAAAAAAATAGACTGAATCGTACAAAATATTGATATTTGTGGTTGTACGAATGTTATCGCCAAACTTTGACGATTAAACTTAAAGAAGGTAGGAAATATAATAACTCCTGCTAGATTATTTTTATATGCCTGAAAACATTCTTATTTTGGTAGCAACTTTGGGAGTTGAACACTTCACGGTTTATTATATACGGCGTAGAATTATTCTCTTGGAAAATTTTGACAAATATTCTGTTATTTCACAGTTATGTTGATATATTTCAGAGGTGGAAGTGAAAAATGTCGTATTTGTGGTAAGTACCCGTGGTATAGATAGCGATGCTGCTTTTGCGACACCAAAAAACTATACAGGGCTTTTCATGATGAGCGTAAATTAGCTGTTTCTGGCAAACTATTCAACGGATCGACCTGAAAATGCATAAATCAATATGAACTACACGCCTAAAATATTTCAGACGAAGCGGCGTTGTCGCTTCCACTATAAAGTAGCGGCTTCTTTGATTTTTCAAATGGAACACCCCGTATATAATATCATATTATGATTCATTATCACTTTGTCAACAAATTCATAT